AGTCCCTACGTAGTGTGATTGTGAGCCTAGAAAGGGGAAGTGACGAAAAACATACCTTGGGGCTTTATCCCCCTTTTCCCCCCCCCCCTTCCTCCCTTTTTGGCCTCCTTCTCCTTTTTCTTCATTGCCAGTGTCACTTTGATCATCGTCGTCACGTTGTACTGCCCTGTGTTTCTTGTTGGTGGACTCGTCAACTGCCGACGTGGCACGTTTGCGGCCAGAACGCGAGGATGGTGGTGCACTGCTGCAGATAAGCCCGCTACGCGTTGTCAGAGCGGCCGTCGAAGCTGTAGAGCGTGTCGTGGCCATGGTGATGGGCGGCGATGGGTGTGCGATGGTGCTGCGATGGGTGGCGATTGTTGACGTTGTTGTTGAAAAGGCGTGGGAACGAGTTGACGAAAGAGTTCACGATTGAATACATGCGGCGTCAGCACGGGTACTTGGGACATTGAAATAGGTAGGATGACAACGGTCCTTTGGTGTAACGGTTGAGCGCTGCCATTGTTAGTGCTCATAGTCCCTATGTTGAGAGTTCAACTCTCAATGTATGCAACATTTTTATATTATATTAATAACAAACAATGTTCATCTCCGAAAACAAGAGTCCGCACGGAGTCCGCTTGGATTTCCAGTTCCATTCGAAAGCACTCGCTACTCCAGGTGGAGTCTGGGTGGAGTCCACCAGGACATCAGTCCACTGGACTCCGGGTGGACTGGAGACTTTGTGCAGGACTCCACCCGGACTGTGAGTGGAATGGACCAGCCAAATCTTGGAATTTAGCAGGCTTCAAAATCCAGGTGGAGTCCACCCAGAGTCTACTGGATTCCGGTCAGTCCGCCCGGACTCCACCCGGACTCCACCTGGAAAAGGGGGGGGAGTGTAAAGTACTCGGCGTCCCAAGGGCTCATTGTGGAATGATAACCCAGATCTCAGCGGGCACCTGATTCTTTGGGACATTGGTCTCATCCGCTTCCCCCCAGGGTCTACAATCATCATTCAATCAGCCATTATCACTCATTCAAATGTACCTATCTCGCGGTGGGAGAGGAACTATTCTCCTTTACTCAGTATACGGCCCAGGCCTTTTCTGTTGGGTAGAGAATGCTCAGAATGGTTTCATGTCTGATCAGACTTTTGTAAATCGGGCCAACTCTTGTCGTCGTGCAGATTTCAAGCGAGCAAAGGACACTTGGTGGACGGATGGTCTTACGATGCTGGAAACCTTTGACATATTGTAACCAATCCTTTGTTGTGCCCACCCGCAATATATGTCGCACCTGCAGCAATACACACTATGCACATGCACTTCTGCCTTCGCTGTGTTGTGCTCCCTACAAGCACCATCAAAGCTATGAAAAATAGGAAGCCCTGTTGCATATTTTGATATTTAATGCCCCAATAGTCGCACTACCCTTCTGAATAACACGGATGGTAATGAGTGAAGCCTTGAGGCAACTCGCAGTTCAATAATTGATAATGTACTGGTACCCCCGAATGATTTCAAACTGGCTACTAGTTACTCGATTGTATTCGATAAAAGATCAATTAGTGAGGCCTAACTAGATTTAATTCCATATGATCTGATGGTCTCCGAGTCAGTTTTCACTGGGGTTCAACTTGCTGTGATTAAAATGATGGGTGTCCCTGGTGGTTGTGCCTTGGCAGAGATGTTCATCACCAGACGGCTCCTTGTCTGATACAAACAGGTTGATTCCCATACCTTGATGATCCAACTCATCGTCAGCCTCGTCATCTGTGATAATGGTGCTGATTGCTGGGTCGGCTCTGTTGCCAGAATTATACGCATCCAATGCAACCAAAACTATTGCCAGGAGTTCCCCGAATCCATCCTTTGAGGCGAATATACTCATTTCCAACACATCCTCATCACCAGAACCCTCTTCCGAAATGACTACCTCGATTGCCAAGTCTTGCCAAGTCACTTTCCTCTCCAGACAACTTGTCATCAGATATGACCACCTTGGTAGCCAGGTCCCCATTGTCGGCCAAATTGTCGGAGATTGTTGCCCTGATTGCCGGGTCACAATGCTCATGCAGTTTTCAAATTCCATATCTCATTCCGAGTTGAGGAACATATAGGTGTGGATTTGATCGTGACTCGTAATACTCGAACATCTCCTGCGCTGCCAAAGCGTAATGGTGGAACAGCAACCACCATGGAAGCACCATGATGGCTGCTATTGAGTAGTCGATCAACAAAGGAACTTCAACCTTCAGTCACATGTCACAATTGCTGAACAGGGTGTATGAACTAAACCCTTGACCCGTGTTGCCCTGACCTTCAGGGTTACCCCATTCCAAGGGCTCAGGGCATTGCCAAAATGTTCCTGCGAATTAGTGCCACAGCCGTGTTAATGATTCTGAATGTTATATTGAAAACCAATGCTCCACCTTGCAAAGACCATGGTCGAGAGTCGAACTCGCACCACCCAGCAAAGTACACATTGCTCGGATGCTCTAACCTTTAAGTAACATGGTCAGTGGTCCTTCACACAATTGAAGGCCGAGCACCACATGGCCAAAATTGGTTAAGCCCACCCACGCTCATGCACCATGTAGCTCAAGGGGTAGAGCGCCCATTGTCTCATTTGCTTCACCCATCACATCGGTGATGCAAGTTCAAATCTCACTCTGGCCATCGCGTGACATTTTATGTTACCCATTCTCCAAGCTAATCACCCACATGAGAACAAGTGATTTAAACCACTGAACGGCTATGTAGCTCAATTGGTAGAGTGCCGAGGTGACAGTCACCTTGTTCACTGTTGATGCAAGTTTGACCCTCGCCAGGGCCATTGAGATGGTTCTCTGGTTTTGTACTGCCGAACTGGGGGTGCTCGGAACTTGAAGGTTGTCATGGACTGTCATGGGTTGCCGATTGCCTGGCTCGCACATTCGGGCCAGCACTGCCAAAATATAACATCCAGCCACTACTTTAGGCATTTGGTACATTTTAAGGCCTCATAGCTAAAAAGGAAGAGCTCTGATATTACTTTGAGTAAACTTTGTCACATCTTGTATGCACAACACCGTCAAACTTTGTCGTTCTTGGTGGGATTTTAGAGATCAGTCTCAGCCCTGGGTTCTTTATGAGTTGCCAGTTGCCGAACCAGCATGAGCGGGTCTGCGCCACAGAATTACAACATCTGGCCAGGGCTTCAGGTGGCTTTGCTGCACTTGGTGGCCTCATAGCTCAGGAGGAAGGGCGCCGTTGCTTCATTCAGTGGATGATCCATCCCAACCCAATCCCACAACCCAATCATCACCAGCATCCTACCTCTCCCCCACTGTCAGCAATCCGGCAATCCCCCAACCGGGGACCCATCCTGGCAATTGAATTACAATTCCTGACAATCGACCCCCCCCCCCCCCCCCCCCCCTTCCCACCATCCACCCCGGCAACCGATCCCCACCAGCCCGCTCCCCCATCCCATCCACTGACCCCTGCCACCCCTCCTGCAAAGCCCACCTGGAAGCATTACCCTTTCAATGGCCTACTCACGCCCACTCATCCTATTACCCTATCACTATACTGATCCTGATCATGTCCGCTCACCAGTTTACTACCAGTACATGTAGATGTCTGCTGGGAGCTGAGCGGACCCTTTGGCTTGGTAAGAGATGGCTACATGTCACGTCCTCAGGCGGGTCTACTACCCTACATTGTAGTGCCTCTACCTGAAACATTGTCAATTCACATACATTTTACCTTGACATGGCCCTCGCCCTGTCTTGGTATACATCTTTACCTCGTGAATCGCTACTCCATCACCCTCCACAATGTCCCTTCATTCGAAGCTTATTGAAGTCTTCAGGTTTATGCCCACCAAATACTGGCATACATGCAGGTGACCATCTCACCACCACTTCTGGATGTTACTGCCCTTCCAACTTCTCCTGATCGATCAAATACCTGGTTCCCATTCTTTGTCCCAGCCGCCTTTGCTCGTGAAGAATACAAAAGTCTCTGCAGGGAGCTCAAGCCTTTATCGTCTGCTCTCAATGCCCTGGGTTTTGAACCAACCGTGGGTCAGACAATGGATAACATTACACAGATTTGGGGGCCAGCAGTGCAGCATCTCCATTCATGACCAGGATCTTCCCCATCGCCGCTTCCCCTATTGTTCTCCGGCTGTGGTCCATTCGCCTCTCTCGCTCTTATCCTTCAAGACTGTAAAGACGGGTGTCGAGTGACATGACTCCTTGACTTCATGGCCACGCTAAAGTGCTACATGCCCAAAGCAGTCGGGCCTTTCATCATCATGCAAACTCTCAATCTGTGATACTGCCAGAAGCGTCACAGCTATTCTTCGACCGAGCTCTGGACGAAATTCTGACTTGGGAGCCCGAAGCCAACCCCAACAAGCCTTGTTCTTTCTCCAATATCGACATCACGCGGCTCATAGCCTCCCTCAAACACAATCTCATGCACGAACTTTCTGTTCATTTTGTGGGGGATATATTTGGACCAGGAATCATAGAGATCCTTGATCACCTGGCAAAGCATGTGACCCTGCAGGGAGCAGCCCAACAGCTGTGCAATATGCATATGGGAGCCAGAATTTTATTAACATCAAGATGGAGCTGGAGGGGGCAAAGAGGAAGACAAGGATTGATTGAGATCGGGTACAATGTACGCTCTGGCCTTGTTCAAATCTGTGATTCTCAGGTTACTAATGACAGAAACAATATAATCAAGTGCCAGCTTGTGACAAAGCATGTTTAAGCACCAGCTATGGCCCAGACTCTGTACTTTACAGTCCCCCCCTTGTCCAGGTGGACTCCACCCAGACTGTTTGGATTCCGGTGGACTCCGGTGGACTCCGGGTGGACTCCGGTGGACTCCGGTCGGACTCCGACTGGACAAACGACTTGTGCAAGTTTTCACAACTTGCACACATCATTTTTTAATATAATATAATATAATATAAAATAAAAATGCCCCTGCCATGGAGGGCTTTACACTCCCCCTGGTCTATATGTAGATCTACAAGGACTCTACCTGGACTCTCTG